AAAGAGTGTTTTGGAGTTTTAATACCCTCAGATATAGATTTTTAATGGAACACATATACATCCAGTGTATAAACAAAGAATAATTATCACAAGTTTTTTAATTACAGCTTTTTAATTATTGCTCGAGGCAGCTTCTTTCAACTGAGCGTTTGTTTATCCTAACAATTTTTATTTTATCTCATCTACTAGGTGACTAAACTATGTTTTGAACTCTTTTCCCACCCTGCTTTCCATATTGCTTTTCTACTAATAAAAAGGCCTTTGAAAAATGTGAGCTTTCCTTTTAGAGCAGGCATAATGTCACCATCATTAAAAAAACCAACAAAATTTTATTTTATTTTACTGCGAAAGATATTGCTAGGGAACCACCTTGTGCTAAAAGGCTTTGTATTGCTGTCATAAATAGCACATCTTGAAAAATTCTGGAGAGTAGTCATGCTAAGATATGATAAAAATATTTGGGGGAAAAACCCTCTGTATTACCAACTCACCTGGGACGGCTACTATTTTCAGGTGCAGGATCTTTCTCAAGCCAGCTCTCATAAAGAGACTTATTTTCATAACCATCATCAGGGCTTAAAATCTGGAGAGGAAAGTATTACAATCTCATTGGATATAAATTGGATATAAATTCATTATTAAAGGAGACCTTTGCAGTTATCTGCATTATTCTTAATCGATAGTGTTGCTGCATGCAGAGAGGTACATGTACACTGCTTACATTTGTTACACACATTTATGGATCCCAACCACAAAATGCATCTCACAGGCACTTGGAACCAACCATAGGCAGTAAGGAAGAGCAGGTTAACTCAAGGATGCTATCTGGAGCTCATCTACTACTGGGGAAAGTGGATTCTGGGTGTTTCAAGGACTTCTTACCACCTTATAGCACTGTGTATAAATACACAGAGTGGCATATGTAATGCTATGGGACCACTCTGGCTGCCAGATGTCCCAGCTGCTTTCCTTTCAGCAGGCAAGGGGAGATGACAGCCCTAACCCTGTGGAGGTTTGCCCTGCACAGCAGCAATATTCTTGCAACAGGCTGAACCTGAAAACTGACTGCTTTTTCTATAGGAAAGGTACAAAAGAATTGTGCTAGAAGGGTCCAAACCACTCAAATCACAGCAGTGCCAAGGGGACTCAACCAAGACTGGAGAATCACTGTGCAAGACACTGTATGTACAAATGTAGGTCTCACCCTTACCTTAAAAAAACCAAAAAGCTCTGTAATCAGGATGAAAAAGGTAAATATTAGTATAGTCATCATGCTAGCAGGAAAACTATGGAATAGTATAAAATTAGTTGACCAAAGCTCTTAGAAACTATGTGGCAGAGGTAAAAGTAAATCAAGACTCTAGCCCCAGTCTCCATCTACATGTAAACAACCTATAATAGACATGGTCCTTTGCCTGTAAGATTGGTTATGGCATGCAAAGGATTGGGATTTTTATTTTTTTCCAAAATACAAAGCATATATGTTCATGACTAGACACATGAACCCACCATATTGCTGAGACTTAATTTCTGCACTGAAAAACATACAGACTCCAAATAGAAAATCCAAAGAGTTCTGACTTCTAGGATTTTGTTAGCAGCTAGTGGAAAAATAACAACTTCTTGAAATAAGTGCTTAGCTGCTGTAATTTTCAGGGCACTTTAGTCAAGTCCTAAGGCCATAGTGAAAATGGCACATTAATAAGAGTAAGCTGAACTCTGACATATGGGAGCAAAAGCACTACATGCTCTGGCAATGATGTTCAGACAGCTCTGATAATGTAAAAACCATTGGCCAGCTTTTTCATACAATGCTGAGAGTGTAGTAAAACATACCATTTGCCCTGACTCAGATCCAAATTTAGAATCAGCATAAGCTTCCTGCTATCTGAAGGGAAGATGCAGAGTTCTTTCAAAGGAATTCAAAGGAAGAAATGATAATCAGAACAGAGGAATTGGAGCTAAACTATTGCAGAGACTGTCTGGTGGTGACCAATTGTCTAAACCCTAGCAGTAGAGCAGGGTCCAAAATGACAGGTCAGCTGTATGTCCCATCTGTATGCTGAGGACCACACTTAAATGCAGAACTCTGTGAAAGACAACACTTCACATGTACTGTGCAATTCTTTTTGGTGAGAAATGGCTCACTAAAATACAAGAAGAGCAAAGAGATCTTTGGATGTTGGATAGTCAGATGTTAGACTCTTTAATATGAACAGATAATATTTTCCTTTGGACATGCATAATCAGGTGTCAGGTTATCAGGTTTTCTAATGATTACATCAAGCTTTTACTGTTAAAAGATACAGTAACACTGAATAGGATTTTTCATTTTTCTTTGAAGTGAGTTTCAAGTACTTTGTGTGGTGCTTTAATGGAAGTTTTCTACACAAACCAGCAATAGTTGAATAGTTGACTTCAGATCAACAGTGAGATACTAATTTTAGCCCACAGCATTTTTTAAACTTTATCTTTTGCAAGAAAATGTCTTCCTGGGTAAGTAGCTTGCTGCAGACAGAAAGTACATTATTTTATCCAGAGCCCTGCAGCACTAAGGACATGGAAATTTTATAGGTAAAAGAGAATGTCCTTCAGTGTGCAAAGTGTCACAGCTAATATTTGAACAAGAACAGTTTCTTCCTCCACAAGGAAGAAAGATTAAGATTGAAGGAGTTAATAAGAAAATAAAATGCAGAAAATAAAAGAAAACCATGGGAATAACACAGATAAACCATGGCATTTCAGGTGTTAAAAGTGTAATGTGTTTGAAAATAACTCAGGATGAGTGCATCTAATGGAATGGAAGACTGGTAGCTGGAGTCACCCTACCAAGTGCCATTACAGTGCAGCTTTTTACACTGGACCAAGTCATCTGAGTTCCCTTAATATCTGGGGGAAAAACACTTTGAGAGTTCTGCACATACAAAGGTAGACAACCACATTTGGTCCAGTGAATCATCCTAAAGGCAGAATTTCTACCCAATGCCTTTAAAGGGAGCCTACACTACTTAAGTCAGAGAGAGATGTCTTCTGTTAATTGGGATGAATCCAGATCTGAGGACAGCAGCAATGGCTCATGCTAAGTGCCTAATCTGACTAACTCTTTATATGGCCAATGAAATTCTGTGCTTTAATGGATCACAATCCTTCATCCATATGATAATTTATTCTGGGGTGAAAGTAAAAGAGACAAGATTAGACCACTTGTAATCATGCAAATCCATACGTCTGGCCCATTACAAAAGCTGCTCAATCCTTCAATATTTAGTGCATATTTCAGGGGCTCAGTGAGATATGAAAGGGATTCAGGGGAACAGAGAGAAAATGGTAGCTAGCTAATGTGAAAACGAATAGATTCTTTTTTGCACATGAAATAGGAATTTAAAATGCAATTTATTTCCTTCAATGCTTACCACTTTAAAGAATTGATCTTGCTCAAATATTCTATCATCTTGGTTTTCAAAATTATTAATTTTTTTTAACTACATGTTGCAAATAAGATTCCACTTATATCAGTGACACATTTCAACCTTCCTAAGAATACCAATGAACTGTGTGCCTGGATTGTGTACTGCTGATGGGATGTTTTGCTATTGATTTTGGTGGAATCAAGATTCTTCCAGCAAAGCAATAAAATAAATCCAATATTATTCAATAATCCAATTTTATCCAATAAACTCACAGTTTTACATGGTTAGAAAGTCAGAAATAATAGACACTCTGATTCTTGTACCTCTTTTGTCAGATTATACACCAGTTTGTAGAGAAGAGGGGTGCAGTCAACTCTTAATGTGTAGTTACCTGAAAATAAAACAAAGACATGGAACTTTTCCCTTCATATGGCATTATCTTCTTAGCAGATTAAACCCTGAAGTCCTTCATAGATAAACTTCTTGACACCAAAGCAAGAATTTAGATCTTGCCTCAGAACATATACAGAAATAGACTACTTGATCACACTGTATAAGCTGCTGCCACTACACAACAATGATGGATTGGTTATAGTACATACACAGTAGCGTAATTAAGCCTTCCCATAGTTATAAAATATGCCTAACTATCCCTCATTAGCTACAAGCCCTTGTCACTCATATGCTTCCCAAAGCATGTGTTAAACAGAAGGCGAAAAATAAGAAGTTAAAAATAAAGTCAGTGCCTTCAGAAAGCATGCAAGAGGAAAGGCCTTCAGAAAGTGTGAAAGAGGAAAGATATATTCCCTGCAAGATGTTTTAAGAAATCTTTCAATGCAGCTACTTCTCTTACCATAAAGAGTACTTTTTCAATATTTTTGCAGACTGCATCTACAAGACAGGTCATCTTCTGAGTAAGAGACTTGCAAGACATTTGGCATTTTATATTTCAGAACTAAGTCTCACCCAAATAGAAGGCAAAAAAAAGATGCAATGTTTTCATCTGTTGTCTCCTAAATGGTGCCTTTTACCACCATGCAGAGGCTTCTACCTTTTACTCCTGTGACATTTCCATGCTGCCTGCAGGCTGTTGAGCTAGGTAAGTATCTCACAGCAAAATTCTGCTACAGCAGCAGGAGCCCCATCAAAAAGAAATTATGGCCACTTTTGGGGCTGGTAGTCTTCTCTATAGACTACAGCCACCAGAGAGCAGCTGGGCAAACACTCTGCCCTCAAAGATGTACAGCAACAAAGAGGGGAAGAGGGATGAGAAGGCTGCAACATAATAAAACACGAGCTCTCAGATAACATTGTTATAAGGTTTTGACATGTCTTTAGAATTTTGGGTCACCCTTTGCATGGTGATGAACTCACATACCATATTCTAGGACTAGACTAACAATTACAGAGAAGTCCACGATGATGGAAAAAAATACTAGATAAGGTTGATAATGTTTCTAAGCAGAATCTATATTTGAGAACTGGAAATTCAAGTCACAAAAGTGCTCAAAAGGATAACCGACTTTGCTTCTTTTCACTGCTAAAGGACAATAAATAGAAATAACTTGCTGTCCAAAATGTGGCCTACGTGCTGTGGAGGATGTATGATGATAAACAAAATAAACATCAGAGTACATGGGTGCTATGACTCTACAAGAGAATTTACTGCTCAGTCAGGTGAAAGATGTCCAAGATGCTTAAACCAGAGCACTGAATATGATATCCTTTTCCTTATTACATATTTCTTTTCCAGTTGTTCTACTTTCACGTCTTTTTTAATGCATAAAACAAGAGACATGTTTGAATAATCAAGATTTAAAAGAAAATTGTTAAGGCAGCAGCATGTTGGCTGCAAACCAACTAAAAAATGTGTGTTACAATCCATGCTGAGAATATGAAGCAGTTGTAAAGCTTATTATTTCATTCGTGAAATCTCCTAGGCGTGAAATTCTGCTCTACTTTTTACACAGCATGTAGGCTGTATAAATGAAGAAAGAGCTCTAACCCTCCTTATTCCCCAGCTCCAACTGAGCATTTAGAAACTGGATTTGGCTTTTCTTTCTTTCCAACCCTTTTGTGACAGACAAAATTTTCAGCTGACAGGAATGAAGAGAGTTCTTAAATATGCCTGTTGATATCCATTTTATTCACACACACAGTAAGCCTAAATAAGTTGGGTTTGACATGGGAAGAGCAATGCCCCAAATAACTGAGGTTATGATGTGGAGCAGCTTCACAGGACTCTATTGACTATTATTTCAGCACAGACAATAGTAAAGGAAATCTTTCCGTAATAAAGCCCAATATAATTTCAGAAGGATTTTGTGCTTTAGGTCATAGTGTTGGGTCCAAAATTCAAAGTCCAGTTTCAAAGCAGCATTCCTGAATGACAGATACTTCTCTTATTCTGAAGGACATAGGAAATTGAATAATGGTGGATAAGGTTTTTTTGGTGAAATATTCTTCAGTGCTTACTTTTCTAGAGGAGCCCTGCTGTAATACATACATAACTCTCTGCTCATAGCAATGAACAAAGGTGACCACACTGGCCCAAAGCACCAAAATGTCTCCCACTCCCACAAAGTGTAAGCCTAAGGTCTCGGCACAAATTTTCTTACAATTGGAATAAATTAGTGTCTCAAAACATTATAATTCCACAGGGAAAGAAGCTGGAGTTGTGACCAGGACAAGGAGCAGACTGTCATACATTAAAACTGTAGTTATAAATTACAGCTAATTCAGTTAAGAGAGAGTTTAACATATGGAGCACTCAGTTCATTAGCACAGGATACTAAACTCATCCAGGGGAGCTATTCTGTACTCCAGACACACGGGCTGCAGCTCATGGATGGAACTCTTTGCAAAAGAAAGCAACATTTGTTCTGTCTTTCCACTTAACTCAGTATTTGCTACACTTATTCCGAACATCACAATGCCTATCTTGTGTTGCCAGCTCTGGAAAAAATAAATAATACACACAGAACTATTAAAAATGACATCTGTGAAGTCATTTTATTTTAAAAATAGAAGACCTACCTTCTATAGAAGAATCTGCATTGATGTAAGCAACTGCCCGTTCCTGAAGGACTTTGGCATTTTCCTGTGGTTGAAAACATGTAATTGTTACTTTCAGTTACTGGCATTTAGTCAAGAGCATGTTAAGTGCACTTTTTTTTTCACAGCATTGCCTTTAAGAACTCAGTCAGGGTAAGTACTACTAAGACATGACTAATTATATTGTTTGAGGATAGGCAAATGATGTGGGCATATGAAATTCACTCCTGCTTTCTGGGACTTAATTTTTTTGTGGAAAACATCCACAATATGTTGCTGCTGCCTGCTGCATCACACAGGAGCAAAATGGAACAGGAAAAGTTTTGAACAGAATTTTAACATGGTAAAATGAGGTTATACAGGTATTGTAACTCTGCACTTCAGGACTTTCTGAGCATGCAACATCTGACTGTGAGGTCAGCCAGAATTCCTCCACACTTTTAAACCCTATTAGACATGTGCACTCCTAGCACTGAACTGATCATTACACTGATAAATCAAGCACTGCCGTAATTTCTACACTCTTCCATTGAAAAAGAGACAAGTCAAAGCACTGACACTCCCCATTAAGATGAAGTTGACTATTTTGAGTCGACCAAGCGTTGCTTTCATGCTAAATATAAGCACGCATCTTGTTTCATTTTTTTTCAAACTGGTAATTATGTTTGAAATTGATATTCTAATCAGTAAGTGGTATTTTACTGAGTCTTGGCTTTGTGATAGATATTCTAATTAGGTTAGGAATTGTTACTCGATTCTTTCAATTTATAACTCATCATTTGTAAGTCATGTGAACCAAAAATTGAATTGATAATTGATAGCTACATAATGAAATTAATTTATTTAAAACAAACAGCAGAGGAGATAGTACAAAAGAATATGAAGGGGGGAACAAGCCTGTATATGCATATATGCAAAAAGCCTATTTGCAGCATAAAGACATTTCTTCATTTATGAGCAATGGAGATTGTGTAACAAAAGGATGTTGCCATAGTTGTAGACTTTCTGTTACACAGAAGATGGAGAATATCATGGGTAAATTTCCCTCAAGATTTAGTACATGACAGATCTAGCAGTTGCAGAAAACAGGAACGTAAACTGTGAGGAAAGTCTCTAGAGAAACTGAATCTAATTTAGGTGTAAAAGAGATAAAGCAAGAAAACAATAATATCAATACAGTGAGGTTCAAATATGAACTGTGCTTACAGTTTTCTAACCTTGGACAGTTGCTGTTTTATGAAATAATGAATGATTACTACACACCAAATTATTAAACAGAAAACCATTACAGAACAGCAGTAACAATGTTTAACACATTGAACATAAGAATTCCTAATTTATTTATGCCTTGTTCAAGAGAAACTGATCTTTTACATATCAGCTCATATTCCTCAGAGTTTATACTATTGTTTTTTCTTGACAGAATCTAAATATGTGCACAGATACACAGACAAAGAAATCACAAAGTTTTATATGCAGTATACTTTTTTACCAGTGCAGTTCAGGTGGGATCAAACTTTAATGCCAACTCTTAAAAATCTCTCAGTAAATGATTTTACATAATTTAAATTATTCTTTCTTCATCTAATTTCCCATAAACCAACAGTAAGAGGTATAGAGTATTACAGCTGGAAGCCAGAGAGTTCATGGGAGAATTAGTGCAAATCCAAATGAATAGAAATCTCAGCTTTATTAACAGAAGAAAGAAGGAATCCCTTTGGTGTTTGGGAGCATATTTCTGGGTTTGTTCCCTCCTTTGACACATGTCATTTTGCTACATAGTTTTTCTGGGTTTGTTCCCTCCTTTGACACATCATTTTGCTACATAGTTTCGTGGTTTACTGAAATACATGCCAAAAAAATTAATTTTTTTATGGTATACATTTTGAAAGCTCTGTACGTGTCTAAATATTACCTTGTAAATAAAATTCTAACAGAAGAACAAGACAACACATTTCTGTTAAACTATTCAGTACTAATAAATTGACATAGTTCAGCAGAAATGTGTTTCATCAGGCAATTTTCCGCCTGCTCTGTTTCTAGTTTAGGCTTTACAGACAAAGCAATGAAAACTCTTGTAACAGCTGTATTTCTTATTGGTGCTGAACAAATCCACTTACAGGTTTAGGAGTTGAACACGCCCAACGGGAAAAGGAAGAGAAAAATACACAGACCTTCGCTTCTGAATTTCCCAACATCCTTCTCTTAGGGATGCCCTACAGAATTAATCAAATGTCTTGCCCCTGAGACTACAATGCTGAAATTCACAGGAATTTGGAACTATTCACTTACGGATTACCTACTCTTTCATTTGCCCAGAAGGACTGATTTTCACATAAAGGGCTTAGTGTGCTTATGGATCACAGTGTAATGATCTGGACTTCAGTTTATAGAAACCAAGTAATTTCTCAAATAGAAGGTTAGAAAACAGGCCAATCTAGGTTATAGAAAATGCTATCATTCTGTTAAGTGAAGGGATAGATTTCCCTATAGAGACCACTGAGAGACATTATCTTTGAATCAAAGTAGGTTTTTCGATCTTAGAAGAGTTAGTGCACTTATGCTGTAAGAAAGTAGGTAGGTAATTTGTATAAATACATGAGGGCATCACAGCGCCTGCAGGAGTCTGTTGCGCTCCAATTTTACCTTGAAGCTATTGATTGCAGTCTAGGAATAGATGCTGGGTATTGAGGCTGCCTGAAACACACTTTCAAGTTTTGTTTTACTTTACACTAGTTTTTTATTTACCTCAGCCCACTCTGTGGAACCCAATAATCCAAATTCTTCTGCATCCCAGCTAGCAAAAATAATAGTTCGCTTAGGTCTCCAACCTGAAATTACATAGTTGAAAATTCAACTCCGAGTTTGAAAGTCTAGTAAAAGATCAGCACAGTTAATTGAAATTGCTTTAAAAATAGCACTTAATTGCTATAACAGTAAAAAAAAAATCCTCTTTAAACTCCTTAGAAGAACATATTATCACAAAGGCATTTCTTCTTAATGAAATAATTTCATTCTACACAACTACGAGGGTACTGTTACACTGATGAGATATGTGAGGGAATAAATTCAGCCAACTAAGATGCAATGCTACATATGCATCTCTTCAATGAATTTGCATCTTGCATAATGAGTAATACAACTTTCTGTAGAGGTGAAAAGTTAAATCAACACAATGGCTTATGGGAGCGCTGTTCCTTAAACCTTCTGTTTTCCATATCCATCATTTTATGTCTGTAATAAGTAACTTACCTTCCATCTTCATTTTACCAAAACTCCGTACAACCTCTTGCAGAACAGCTGCACCTGTAGTTGGATCAATACCACCAAATACCCAAGAGTCTCTATGACCTCCTAAAATAATATATCTGTCTGGAAACAAATATACAATATAAATTCATAATTAAAAATGCACTTGGGTTGCCTGTATTTCATTTGATCTCATCCCTACTTTTATCAAATAAATATGAAGTTTAATACCAATGATAAAAATTTATTTTTAAGGTAATCTGCAATCATTTACTTACTCTACTGAAGTATACAACTAAAGACAAGAAATATTTAATAAATATTTTTCAACTTAAAACATCTTTCATGTGTATGATCTGCTACTAAGTATCAATAACAGAATGTTGAGGTCCCAAATCATCACTAGTTTTCTGTACTTTGCTTTGTGTCAGTTTTGCAAAGGCAAAATGTATGAATGATGTAAGGGGAAGCCTACTGTAAAATGACAGGCATTATAATAATATGCTGTAACATCTATCATTCTAGCTTTCCCATTCAAATATATTCTTGAGAATGCCAATGAAAAACAGTGTGATGGGAGGGACAAAGCCACTATTAAGGATTTCTTAAACTCCATATTATCTGTCTATCTAAAAAGCTTTCAGTTTCTTACAACATGAGAACAAGTTCATCAAACACAAAATAAAGAAGGAATTAAAATCATCAGGCCCCTGATGCTCACCTGGTTCCACAGCTCCTCTGAGGATGCCAATGACATTGTAAATTCGTGCTATTTTATTGCTTGTATAAACATGCATTCTGACTTTTCTGAAATGAAAGGCAGTATGGAATAACCATTTCTGACTGCAAAGCCAATAAAAAGACAATGATAACAACATATAAGCCAGAGAGTTTGTGCTTCTGTTCTGCTTTGTGTGTTCAGCACTGTCATGCTGTTTTGGTGTCCCACTTTTTATTTCAGCTTAACCTGCTGACAGAAAAATGCCTTAGAAACAACCCTATGACATAGACCAATCCATAAACTTGTAAACATTTACAGAATTTACTGAATTGTTATTCATGGGAATCAATCAGATAATTGTGTACTAGAGGATTAAACAGAAAGGCATGTACAGTCATTAAAAATATACTTACATTTTGACCAAAATTATAATTGTGGATATACCTATTTTTATAAAGAGTACACTTTGGTTTTCTAGCACAATTTCATATAATAAGATAGAACTCAGAGAAAGGTCATTAGGATTATTCATCCAGGAATAAATTGCAATCTGTGTTTAGAACAGCAGATCTGAGTGATCAAGATTTGTCAGTCACAGAATCATAGAACGGTTTGGGTTGGAAGGGACCCTAAAGATAATTTAGTTCCAATCCCCCTGCCATGGGCAGGGAACCTTTCACTAGAGGGAGGGAACCTTCTAGTACTAGCACAGTTTACTTCTTCCCTGCTGCCTCAGTAAAAATCCTTCATCCCTTCTCCCCTCCCCCCCAATAAAATCTGCTGGTGAAATTTTATCAAAACAAAGAAAATCCAGGTATTAGGAGAGAGAAAAATAATTTAATATTCAACCCTCTTAACCTGCAGAAGAAACAAAGCTCCAAACAATGCTTTTTTTTTTGTTTCTGGCAAAACCTCAAGAGTTTCACATTTGAAGCTGTCTTTTCAGCAGCAAATCTGCATAGCTGTCAAAATCAAAACCTACTTCAGGGCAGCCACTGGATCTTTGCCCAGAAAATATGTGACACCAGTTCCCTGAACATGCACATCCTTGCGCACTTTCCATGTGCAAGTGACTTTCTACCTAGACTCAAAAGGTTCATTTTGATATGGAGCTACTGTGAGAAAGAAGTATGTGTAGGATTAGCCCATGTTTACAAAACATGTTACCCTACCAAGTAGGAAGATGTTAAAAAGTGCGTTCAAAAGTATTTTGCATGTGTGAGTTTTGTGGATGAATCATATTGTTTTCTCACTGTTGCTCTTCAAGATATTCCAAACAGAACTTCCATTATGTCAAATGTAGAATCATAGAATGTTAAGGGGTTGGAATGGACCCTAAAGATCATCTAGCCCCAATCCTCTGCCATGGCCAGGGACATTGCCCACTAGAACAGGTTGCTCATGGCTTTATCCAGCCTGGCTTTGAGCAGCGCCAGGGTTGGAGCATCCACAGCCTCCCTGGGCAACCTGTTCCAGTGTCTCACCACCCTCACAGGAAAAAATTTCTTCCTAATATCTAATCTAAATTTTTCCTCTTTCAATTTGTACCCATTGCCCCTTGCCCTGTCACTACAGCTCCTAACAAAGAGTCCCTCTCTGGCTTCCCTGTAGTCCCCCTTCAGATACTGGAAGGTTGCTATGAGGTCTCCATGCAAGTTTCTCTTCTCCAGGCTGAACAGCCAAACACGCTTTCTTATTTATTTATTCATACTTTATTCATTTTCAGATAGTGTTAAAGCAGAGAAGAAAAGAATAAAGTGTTTAGAAAATTATGTATTTGGACATACTCTTGTTTTTCAGGAGTGGAGCAGTGATAATGATATACTATTTTTACACACTGTTCATTGTAGTCCACTACTAGTCCTCATAGCCTAAAACCTCTTGTAAACTGAAAGTACTTCTATGTGGAAAAGTCACAGAAAAGTGATAGCTATCTTTATTGCAATTTATTGACAAATGCCATTGTCATATGGCTTGGTCTGCTAGAGAGTGACTCCCAGTGCTGGAGACCTGGACAGCTGTAATTCTCTGTTAGATCTGAAAAAATGTGAACTGCAAAGACACTACTGCTAATCCCACTGCTCAAAGGCCAGTTCCTCCCAAACAAATTAATAATATAAAAGTGCTTTGGGATCTTGCATTCTGTTATTGCTCAAAGTTTTTGACCATGGGCTCCACCAGCTCTGGGGAACAAATCATTGCCACACTTCACAGCTCTAAGTTCAGAGAAACCCTGGAAGCCTCTCAGTGGACAAGGGAAACAGATACAGAAGAGAACAACTGAATTGTCTGTCCTTCCCCATTGAACTGGTACAAGTTGACTGTCCTTACTGCTTCTTTGGTCATCAGAAACAGAAAAGAAGACAAAACTCAAAGTCAGGAGGAAGTTGAGGGTTAGTATAACAGTATTAAAAAATGACAGGACTGTACCTATACCCTCTGAATCTGCCTGTCCATTGACACTGGGGTCATCGAGCAAAACCATAGTTTTGATAATTTATTTTCAAATTATAATAATTATCACTACACTTACAAGAAAGTAAATTTCTCTAGAATATCTCTAGATGTATTGTTTCACAGTCTTTTTCTTGTGGAGTACTGTTTGTTGGGGTTTTGGGGTGTTTTGCAATATTGTATAAATAGCAAGTGTTAAAACAGACCTTGTAGAAGAGTTGCCTGTGAATCCTGGCCCTATGTTATAAGACACATTGAGATTTCCCTTCCAGCTGCTGTCTGGAGCTGCAGGCCCTCCCATTGCACTGTGAAATGAAAAGCAAGACAATTGCAGTTGACCAGTAGGCTAAAACCTTAAATTCCCTTAATAACTATTGCAGCAAAACCAAGGAGGGTTTACAAAATTCTTAAAAGCCATACTGCAAAAACACATTGCTTTGAATTTTTTACATTTTCTGAAGCACACGTTACTACAAAAGATTAATATATACAGGTAACACCATAGAATTTACCATCTTAGTATAAAAAATTTGTCTACACATTTATCAATACTGGCTTCTGGTGAGGAGGACTGATGTATACTCACCGTAATAATACTTCTGCATCATGATATCCAATGGGGTGAACCGGGATTCTGGGGATCCCTACACCTTCATTAACTTTGTACCTGAAAGTGTACTCTGAGAAACCAGAACAGAATGTCAAGTTTATAGTGTTCTTAGCAACTTTTACCAAACTGGAAACATGCTGGAGCAGTGCAGACACACAATAACCACAAGCACGCATCGTTATTTTCAATTCTTACATCTTTTCTCAGACATTGTTTCTAGGAAACCAAACTGTAATGACAGAATCACAAACCCAGTAATCCTTCTGCCCAACTGTGCAAAAGAAGTCCCCACATTTGATGCAAGGTTAGATTTGCTGCCCATCCATATTATTACATCTCCTCAGAGCTGGCTGGGGTAAACAACACTGGTGTGTGAGGTGAAGACTGAGCCTGTGCAAGCTGCAGAAGACATCTATGGGTGCATTTACCTATGTTAAAGTCAGTCAATGTCCCTCTGAGTCTGGTGGGCTAAGCACACACAGTCTATTTTGTTTTTCAGTAGGTCATCTTATGCCCCCAACAATGGTCACAGAAGCCCATGAGCTTTCCAGAAGCACCCGTACACCCATCCTATCAGCAGACAGCACTGGTAGGCATCTTAGTTCAGACTGAGCTTAGGATGCTAACAAGGACAACACAAGCACATGGTGCCAACTTTTGAAAGACTCCAGGCTACTGTTATTTTTACTACAGGAATTTTACTCCCTATAAAGAGGATTTTAAACTGTTTTTCTACTTAGAATTTATGATCAGCAAGCAAACATACCTCCAGGCAAAGCTATTAGCCCTCTCTGATGGTATAGTATACTCTAGTTGAAACTGGTCCTCTTGAGAAACACAGATATTTTAAAATGGCTATAAATTCTCAGTCCTTTTCTGCTGCTTCTGGCTGTAAACCTACACACACTGTTTTCCTAAGAGTTCCAAGGCTGGGATCATACAAAGTGATTTTCCTAAAACTCAAAAGCAAGCAGTTGAAATGGCACACAGGTAGAACCTGGTCTGCATTAGGAAAATTAACTACCATTAAAAATAATTTTAAGCAGCTTTTTTTCTCTGCATCTATATGGAAAAAAAGATTCCTTTCTAGGGCCCCACTTTCAGCACCAGCTTACAGAACTTTCACTCACCTTTTGCTGGATAACCTGGTGTTAGAGGGTCCCCAGCTCCATTCAGGTTTAACACATTTCCACGCTGGACTCCTCCACCTGGAAGGTTCCAGCCACCTGGATAAGCATCTACTCCTGGGGCACAGTAGTCAGCAGGGTCTGAATAAAGTATGATCCCCTGGGCTCCTGCTAATATGGCATTTTTAACCTGTGAAGTTATTTGCTTTTAAAGAATGTCTTTTTTTCTTTTTTTTTTTAAATGCAGTAATAAATCTGAGTGTTGCAATTTGCTTCCATGCAGACATGGGTTTAGAAGCTGTGTGTGTAAGAGTGAATATTATCCCAGATACAGGGGAAGAACAAAGCACAGTGAAACACAGTATGTTCTTTCTTTGTGTCACACCTTTAGTCATATCTCAAGGCTATGAAATAAAGCACAGGACATAAAACTGAGGCACAAAAACTGAGCACTATCCTCACTGTCCCACTACCTCTGGTTTTCCCAATGTTGCTGTCTAGAGACAGAAGACATATTTATTCAGTCTCTGTGCATGAGACTCCTTGTCAAATAATTACTATTTCAAAATACTGCAGTTGAATGGATGAGAAGCACCAAAAGCCTTGGCTCTACAAACTACTCAGTTCCCCAAACTACTCTTTTACAAGAACTGCCTAGGGAATTTGCAGTCATCTTAGACTGAGGAGTTTAATATGTTCATCTGGTTTTATTGGTTTGGAAGTTATTCTTAGGTTGCAGTGACAATGGATACATTGCAGGCTTCCTTCTGCTCATGTGCTCCAACGCACAGACCTCACTAACTCCCTCCAGCTCTACCATGAACAGTGTCTGACCCACAGAGGAAAAATTAAAACACAACCCTTACTTTGTTTCCTCTGAAGATTTTCCCATATCTGGCAATGACAATCTTTCCTGTACAGTTAATTCCCATTTCACGCTCCAGCTTCAAAAAATCCTCCGTACGGCCGTAATTCACATATACCAGATCCGCCTGTGCCAAAAATAAAAGCAGCATCATGGCAACTGGCCAATCAACAAACAAAATGCCCATTATCAGAAACACCCAGTTTCATTCCCTATATGTGATACAGGTTGTTTTGGGGTTTTTTTCTGTTCTACAAATGAGATCGAGTGCCCATAAAAACAATAGCAAAAGATATCCACAATATTCTACAGGAAGCTTTGTCCCAACCTGCAGACCTTCGTGTACTTAACAACAGTCCTAAAAACTGGAAAATAAATCAATGTACTTTGTTAAACTGACAGACTTCTCTGGCCATGACAAATTAGCAGTATACTTTGCATACACACTCACTATTATATAATTTCATTCATTCAGTTATGCAATGCAATGTTGTCCCTCATCTATTCCTCCATAATGAATTAGGAGATTAAGTGAGGGACTTTTGTAGCCTTTGAATGCATTCATTTAATCAAAAATGTCTTCCAGAATGATTTATATATTGCTATTTCTACTTGTGCCTTAAGCAAGTCTCTCCATATGACTGAATAATATGAGCAATCTAAATGTATCCAAAATTTTTCATAAAGATAAAAAGCTTTTACTTTTTATGTGATTCTGAGTTGTAGCAACCTGAGAAAGCTTTTTTTTTTTTTTGCAATAAAAGACTTCTAACCTTTGCAGAAAACATATCCTAGCTGTGCTTAAGTGCTCTCTAATTAATGCTAATGGTTAATTAAAACTACTACAACATATATTTTGAGAAGTTGGAGCAACCTATCCCAGCAAGTGTTTCAGAAAATACTTCAGCCAACAGTACGCTTTCATAATTTTTTCTTACCTCTGGCACTCCTTGTGCTGAAAAAGCATTATATGGTGGTACTATATCAGTAACGTTTTCATACCCCTGTGGAGGTGGTTCAAACAAGGATGTATTGAAAACCTGTCAATAAATAACAGAATTCTTTGGTCAAAGACTCCAGGTACAAATTCACACACTAAGCGAATGCTTCTTAGTGTGCAAACTATATGCTAGTTTCCAAAAATTGCTAGCAAAAATTACAATTCCAACTAGCATGCATATGTTCAAACAAAAACACAGCTAGGGATCCACAAACGTTTATAACAGAATGCAAATATATGAATACAGAAAGACAGATCACTTTTCTCATCAAGAAGATGCTGAACTTAAGCAAAGAAGTAGCTGAAAATTGCCAACAGGTGGTGACAATAAAAAGACACCTAGTTTATCCATGTAATTGCAAGTATTTTTTGTGGTTACTCCCACAGAAATGATCTTCTTTTCATGCCTTTGCTAGTTACACTCCAGTTAAACATGCAGCCTTTTATTAATACCTATTGTAACACTCACGTTCATGTCCATGTTTTGTCACCTTGAGAGATTATAGCTGAGACACTGTAATGGTTTCTGGAAGAATTTCTTCATTCTTTCACTTCTAAGCTCATGTCATTCCTGAGAACATATTCCTTAGTTTCTACCAAGGCTCTTCATCCCTACATATGTGCTATGATGCTTCTCTACCAGTCTCATCTCATCTCCTTGCTCAGGCTCTTTGTCATATTTTGCATCTATTATTTCTCTGGGTGTTCAAAAGGGAGAAAATGTCTACAGACTGTTCACTAGTACTTCCAACACTAGCTTAGGAGATACCATAGGAAGCCAGTAGGATCAAAGTCAGAGCAAGGTAAACAAAGAAGTACCTCATACAATCAGTAATATCTCTGTCAGTCCTTACCTCAGCGTGTTGTGGAAGCAAAAATTGCACAGATGTTCAAGCAGGGTTTGGATAGGTACTTGGAACAGAGATCTAATTAGGGTCACTGACCAGATAAATACTTGGAAAAGAGGTCTAATGAGAATTCTTCAAGAGACTAATTGCAGCACATTCAGACAATTCCTGAGCTGAAAACAGCTAGACACTGGAAGAATTGCATGCCTGAAATGTATTTCTTTGTTCTTAGATGTCCCTGTGCATCCACTTAAGGCTGTTTATGGAAACAGGATATTGGCATAGAGGTATCCTTAAGCTGAACCTTTCTAGCACCTTATGGTCTGCCAGTGTTAATTGCAGCCCCTCCACACATCCTCTCTTTTCTACATGAGGCACTGAGATTTCAGCCACTCTGCTGTGCCGCTGCACAGCCTGGAAAACCAAGAATGAGTTTGCTTTGAGCTGGATTTTTTTTTTATTATATTATAAAACACATACTGGAATGAGAGAGTGGGGAAAAAAAGAGGAAGACACTGCTTTTTTAAAGAAGTCTAACACAAATATAATTTCATCATTAAAAAGTTCACCTCATTCCCTTGATCATCAATTACTGAGATGTAGCTTGGCTGCTTTTCATTTGGGTATGAAAGAAGCACATCATAATGAACAAGTTCTGCTGAATCCAATCCAAATTCCTTCCACTGGCCTTGAATTTGCTTGGCAAGAAGAAGATTCTGTTCAGTTCCTGCGAGGTGAGGCAACTTGGTAAATGAGCTAGAAAAAAACAGAAAACCACTAGTAAGCAGCAAATGGAGAGATACAATAGCGGACTAGGATCAGTGTGTGTATAAAGTTTATCTTCAAGTCATATTACATGGACTGTAAGATCTTAAAAGTTTGAGCTGTGTAACATGATTGTTTATCAGGACAAGCACAAAATGTGGTCAGAGCAGAGAATCTTTCCTGAGGCCTTTGCATAACAGGAATAGCCACATCTACACACAAGCAATGAAAAGCAGTGCCAAAGACATTCAGCAAAAGAACATGAGCAATATGCAATGAGCAGAAATAGATATAGGAAAGTTACACATTAGGAAAGGAGCCTTTCAGATATTTCTGGTATCCAAAGATGGATTTGTACACTGCTAGCATAACATGTCCTAGTAAGTATAACTTGAAAATCATTACATCAAATTGTCTGCACAATTTGCTCTTTTCTTCTTAATCAAAAGTCTGAATAATAAAATCCTTCCAAACAACATTTACTTCCGTATCAGATACAACACATAACAGTGACAAATAGTCAGAAACAGTATCCAGTCCCTCTGGGCTACACACAGAATGCTACAATTTTTTGGCCCCCTGAGCAAGAGAGTTATGGTGAAAGCTCATCACTCAGCCAGGTACTCAGCATCAGCTTCAAACTCTCAACAGGCTATTTGTCAATGGCTGCCCCACAGATGTCAGATATCATCAATTACTATTAGTATCACTCCAGCCTGTCATTTCAGAATGTTTTCAGCCCGTGTGAGAGCTTGTTCTTCAGTTATGCACTTCCTCAGCTCCCAATGAAGAATGTTGTGGGAGAAGATGTTCAAAGCCTTGTTAAAGTCAAAGATGTTACAGCCACTATAATGTCTTCACTCACCCATGTAGCCAGTCATTTCCTTACAGGAGATCATGCTGATCATACTGATTCAAAGAGATTGACCCAACAGCATGATACTTTTACGCAAACATTCATTTCATGACGGCGCTGGGTGCGTGGGGGATCCCTCCTCCTAACTAACTCGTTCACCCTGGCTCCAAACAAGACACTTGTTATTTTCACAAATCATGCCTATTCGTTAGATTTCTAGGATCTCATGCATATATACTAATGATTTCCTATAAATCATTATAATATCCCCACCCTCCTTGCACCTGTGCAGTTAATTGAGGTGGTGGTCATCGAGGGTCCTCTGTGACCCCCAGCAGTCATTCCATAGTCTTCATCTCTTGTCCGCTGGATGATCTCTAGTGTTGGGCACATGTGCACTCCTTCTGGTCATCTTTCCAAACCTCAGGGCAGGTTCTAACCAGTGTTGTTGCCCCAGTTCCTTGGAGAAATGTCTTATCAGTCCCTTTTGGCCTTGCGCTTATCTTCTTCACTTCTCAGAGACACTGAGAGTTGAAATATACTTCACTTGTACAGACATCACAAATTCCTGGGGGCTTAGTTTTTGCAAGAGTAGCAGACAGGCCTTGAGCAGAAACTTACAGCTACAACTAAGGTTAAAAGTATGGCTAACATCAGTTACAACTATAGTTACAAATATGAGTCTCTACTCCAGCTCCTTATTCAAAGTTATTTTGTTAATGATATGTTTAGCTTTACCTAGCCTGCCGATACAAAGAAATAGTAAATAAACGCTGACTGTTCCTAACTATATTGCTGTTCTTCATGTGTTTGGAAACAGAATCCAGAAGGATGTTTGGTCACCCTTCAGGGACTGAAGTGAAGCTCACCAGCCTACAGTCATTCCAGTCCTAGGACCTCTTTCAATCACCAGAACTTCTCATCAACAGCAGCACTGCAATCATTAAGGTCTTTCACATAAATACCACCTGGCCTCTGGATTTGAATGCATCTAGATTCTCTAAGAAGACCACAGCCCTCTGCTCTCCACTGCTGTCTTTCCCTCTCTTAAAACTATGCAGGTATGCACCAAGGTCTGGAAGCAACTTTGGTCAAAGCTTGTTGCCTGTTTTCTTCTGGCACTTTAATTGTCTCAAGTATTTTAAGTACCATTTAATTCCTTAAGTATTCTAAATACTATATATGCCATCAGGAAAAATATACTGAACAACACATGATGCCTTTTTTCAATTTTTCACTTCCAAACAGTTTATTCCTTTCCAGAGCTATGATTTAATGCTAAGGCTAAAGTGTCTGCATTTTCTGAGACTCAAAGCTTGTTTTCCCCACTTGATAAAAGCAGATTTAGTAGTCTGAAAAACTAAGAATATGGATCAATATTCTCAAATTCACTTTTTTTATGGTTTTGACAAACATTTTGGATAGTGCATTAATACAATTTTTCTGCAGTTCCTGATTTTTATTTGAATATAGGCAAAAAAATACCCAACCATCATCAAAGCAAGCAGACAAAGATACCATTAATATCCTATGGCCAAGAGCTATTTCATGCTGTCATCTCTATCTTGCCTAGATTCTCATAATTTTCAGGAGCTCTCCAATCTTCTGAAAGCAACAAATACCAAATAAGATAAGGCATGTAGACTTAAAAAGCTAATTGATGTTAGAAATGAAACCTTGTGGTTTTAAAATTAATGTACGGAAATATGTCAGTAATCCTTTGATGTTCATGATGCAGCTGCTGACTTACATGCTGTATACCAACATTTTACTAACCAGAGGTTATATTTGTTTACTTGCCATGTGAATATATTTGTTCCCTGTAGAAGACATAAATATGCACAATAATGATTTTGTATTTTTTTTAAAATTTTCAGTGGAATGCACAGCAAAACAAGAGGGTATTTTTATATCCATAGCATTTTAAATGTTTTCAAAGAACTGCATGGATGCACTACAATGCAAAAGGTGTATTTACCAACAATTACATCTGCAAGACAACCAACCATACACACACACTGGCTATTGACAGAGCTCTTCATCTTCTGAAATAGAAGACAAGATGGGATGTTGAAGCACCCAATTCGCAGCACTTTTAATATGGCCAGACTAGAGGCCTTATGAGCTGTAAGTATACATGCAACTCAGTGCCATGCAAGTTTGTAGCATTAATTTTTAACATATTAATTTTCTACTTAGACTAGCTGCTCAAACTCAGAGTTTAAGGAGGCACTGGAGAGATGCTCAATCACATATAATTCATATGAACCAGTGCATCCCAAATATGGTAAAATCATTTCGGCCTGAGAAAAAGCAAAGTTACCTGATGTTAGAGCTTCAGACACTTGCAACAAAAAACTAGACACGCTTTAATAAATCAAGATGATGGAAAATAAGAATAAAAAAGACTGGTAAGCACTGGCAGTAATGCTGCTTGCGGGCAGCATACTTGACAGTACAACTAATTCAAAACGGTAACTTCTAAAATGGGAGGGAGGGGGGAAACAGAAGTGTTGTGAGCCTCTCCCTTCTCCTTCCCTCAGACATTCTGTACAAGATAAACACTTCCAAAGCATCTTAACAGCTTTGCTTTCAGAGCTCCTTCCTTGGGGCTGATGTTATCACTTTCTGGCTTTTGTGACTGATAGAATTGTTCAAAAAACAAGATGCACAAGCCTTACCGAAGGAATTGCTTGATGTTCTCTGCTTTCATTTCAGCCACAAGTTTCTGTCTCACATTTTGATAGACATCTGAAGAATTGATGTTTTTTTGGTCCGGTTTTGAAAACAATCCTGAAACACATTTGAAAAGCTTCCTACTTATCAAGAACCCCATTCCTCACATGTTTGAGCCCATGTGCAACCTGAAATACTGATCAGTTAAAACCACGAGCATGAACAGGTCTTAGAGCACCCTCTATCAGTGTCTGCTGGCTCAGAGAAGTGAAGCAGCAAAGTAAAATATGTTTCATTGACTGAATTGCCTGAAAAGTGACATAATGAGAAGAGCATACCCTATATCCCTGGTATATTCCCTTTTTAAGGCAGACTCATCTCTTACTAATTTTAAATTATAGTTTAAATTCTCAAGTAGCTGTTTGTGGTGTGAGGTTTGAACTCCTGATGCTCATGATAAAATTCCCTTATATAATTTATGCATGTATTTTAAAATCATGTGTAAGCATATATAAAGTGAATGTCTAAGACTCAACAGTCAGCCTTCCAGCATTATAATAGTTACAGACCTGGGGAAGAATGGGGTCAGTCTATTCAATAATTAAAGGAATAAAGTGAACTGTGACCCAAGTCAGTTTTAAAATTTTAAAGATATTTCAGTAGCCGTATATCTGAAGGGAGTGGGTATATCAACTCTATGGATTTGTCTTAAAAAACCAAACAAACCAACCACAAAGCCCAAACACTTTTCCTTTTCCAAGCTGGTAAAATTTTTGTGAGAAAGACAAATATATGTGCTGTCACATGCACCATATATAATCACCTGTTAGACTCAAATGCAATTGTATTAACACCCTGAGCATATCACTGATACTGGATCAGACCACATGTCTATCTTGCCCAGTATCCTGGTTTAGAGCATGGCATAAAGATGATGCTCAGGGAAACGTGTAAGAACAGCACAAGCATCAGAAATTTGCAGCTCAGGGATCTCCTAAATCAAACTAATGTTTTTTATGTAATAACCCTCATGGATTTTTTTTTCATGCTGTAGCCTTAGGTGTGTGGTACAAGTTTTGAAAGGACAGACACAGACATGCAATTTTTGACTTAAAATCAAATGCTGCAAGCGACTGCAGAAGTGTCTAGTGCTAGAACTAATGTTCTAGTAAAGTTCATTGTACATGATGAAAATTTCAGCAACTCCACTCTTGATTGTCAGTCAAACTCTTCCTCCTCTACATTCTGCCCTTAATTTCTAAAATAGCAACTGAAGAGCAGCTTTTAAATAGATCTTCAATAAAACTCAGGAAATAAAAATTTTAAAAATATATCATAGAGATCTTACAAGCACAGAAGTCTCAAACTCTTCTATTATCTTTCCTCTTTGAATGCCTGGCTGCCTGTTTATGGAAGCTCTCAGTTCACCAGGGTCGTAAAGCATGCAGCTGTTCTATTCCTCACTCCCTAAAGACCAAACTTGCTAGAAAGAACAATTTCTTAGAAAAGCAGTGGGATCAGTACTTTACACCGTCCCTGAAAAGCAGTATAACCTCCCTGATGGTTACTCACAGCAGGGGCTGCACGTAAATATGTGCAGGGGGCAAATGCTGGAGGGGTTGAGCCCCTGACTCTCTGTACTCACCTGTGAGAACACCCAGCAAGAAACAGCCAAGCAGCCCAGGGCAGGCGAGCCACCTGCACAGAGTGGCCTTGCTCCTGCTCCTGGCCATGCGGGCAACACTGACCGGCAATCAGGAGGGCAGCAAAGCAGCTGCATCCGTCCCTCCTCCTCCTCCCCCCTCCTCCTCCGCCCTCCTCTCCTCCCCCCTCTCCTCTTTCCGACCGCGGCCCCAGGGCTGTTCCTGGCTTCTGTTTCTCAACTCTCATGCTGCCCAACCAGCCGTAATCCTCGGATGATGATGCTACAATTTTCTGAGTGCAATAAGCCATTTATATATCTTGGCCCCACCCTGCAAGACAGCTCCTGTGTACCCGCACATGTATCTCTGTAACAAATATGTATCTAGGCTGTGCACTGAGCAGTGTACAAGTAGTATTTTAAAGGCTAATTTCTATTAATTATCAGGACTTTCTGATGGTGAAAGTTCCTGTTTTAGGCTTGATCACAATCTGTTCCAGCGCAAGTGGCCAGGACAAGAAATTAAGGGAAAACCTGTTTCTCCTTTACTAAGGAAGCACTGAATTTCTTCCCTTTGTAATCCATGGTGACATTAATCCTTGGCAAATGATGAATACTTAGAGCAGCTGAGAATACAATTTACATTAGCCAGTGTGGGCACTTCCAGACTTCATGCAATTTGCAACTGGGAAAAGTTGCAAACTTATTTCCTGTATTCTCTAGCTTTTTACATTTAATATTACAAGATTCCTAAGATCAAGCTTTCCTGGTCTAATTCAATATCTCATGGGGAAGGACACAACTTCAGCCCAGGGAAAAGTCAAAAAGTATGTTCATAGAATCGTATTTTGCACAAACTTATCCCGACCCTGCACATTACTTCCTGCATGGCAATGTGGGAACCAGAACTGATCTTTCTGGAACGGAGAACCTGCCTGAGATCAGTTACGTGGACGAAGACAGGGAGCCTGGACATGCTTTTCACCACTTACTTCCAAAGTCCAAAGTAGATACATGCTGTGAAAGAATTGTTAGTACTCCAAGTACTTTCTTAAATACATCAGGTTGAGTTGAAAATATTCAGAAAAAGCTGAAAAGATTGGTTAATGTCCTAATTAGCTCACTAAGGCTTTTCAGAGAATAATTATTCCACTTGCATATTCTGCATCAGTCACAGCCACTGTCTAAAGCACAGGGCTGGATGTCTTTGTTCAAATGATAAGCACGTCCAGTTTTGTGATTTTTTTCCTGTCATTTCCCAACTGCTCATAAGCCATCACAAATTCTGAACAGCAATGACATTTCACACCAGCATCTCAATTGACATATACAAACCAGATGGAATTCCACCTACAGAACTCATAAAGAATGAGCATATTGATGTATTATTAGCATTTATATAGCACCACAGGTGTAGGACTGGCACATAATAGACAGTAAAGTGACAAGGCCTTTTGGAGATTACTATCAAAATTAGACCTCACATGATGACAACATCAGTGGAGGAAGAAGGTAAGAATAGCAACAGTGAGAATGTATAAAATGCATTTATTTCTATGCCTGTCTTTTTAAAGTGATAAGGGCATCAGCAATGCTGAGGTTGAACAGCAGCAACCAAGTGGCTTCTACCACTTAAAATACAGTCCTAGTATTATTCCTAGTTGCAACATGTTCTTACATGCCATGGGTTGGCTACAGGTGGAGTATATTATGTTACAATTAAATGCAAGTACAACATACAGTACAAATCTATGTCTGGAATCAGATGCCCTCCACGACAGGACAGGGACAGGAAATTAGATGACAAAGCTCATGAGTTGAAATAAAGACAGGGACCTCACTTGCCAATTACCATCATAAGCAAAACAGATTCCACTTAGGGAAAAAAAGTTTTACTTAATACAAATTAAAATAGTCTTGGGTAGTGAGAAACAAACACGAAAATGAAAACAACATTTTGTCCCAAACTGCACCCATTTTATTCAGCTTAACCTTCTTTATTCCCAACTTCTCTATGCTATAGAGTTGCCAGGTGTGACACAGGAGCCATCCTGAGATCAGGCCAGACACCCTGGGGTATCTAAAATGTGCTAAGCACCTAACTTTAAGCACTTGAATTATTCTGTACTGAGAGTGTTCAGTTCCTAACAGAAAAACACCCAGTGCCATTTGGGAACTCATGGAGTGTCCAAAACCTCTAGTCAGAACAAACCAGGACAGGGCAGTGTTTATGTCAGTCCTGTCCTGCTCTGGGGTAGTGGCTACAGGTCAGATGAGACTTCTTACACCTAAAGTGACACTGTGGAGCATGTTTGCAGATAACTGAATCCTGCTCTGTGCTGGCCTTGGCCGGTGGCAGGTCTATTTTGGAGCTGGCTGACATTGATTTTGTCAGACACGGAGGAAGCTTTCAGCAGCTCCTCACAGAAGCTACCCCTGTAGCCCCTCTGCTATCAGAACCTTGCCATGCAAACCCAGTACAGATGGGAACAGACTTTTTAGTAGGGTCCATTGCAATAGGACAAGAAGTGATGGTTTTAAACTAAAAGAGTAAATTCAGAATAGATATAAGGAAGAAATTTTTTACGATGTGGGTGGTGAGGCACTGGCACAAGCTGCCCAGGTTGATGGTGGACACCTCATATCTGGAAACCTTCAAGGTGGAAGTGATGGTTTTAAACTAAAAGAGTAGATTCAGAATAGATATAAGGAGGAAATTTTTTACAATGTGGGTGGTGAGGCACTGGCACAAGCTGCCCAGGTTGATGGTGGACACCTCATATCTGGAAACCTTCAAGGTGAGGCTGGACAGGGCTCTGAGCAATCTGATACCAGTTGATGTCCCTGCCTGGAATGCAAAGTCACATATGCGAGAAGGTGGAAGAAAGTGCTTCAAACCAAAGCTCATCTCAGTCTTACTGAGCATCCCATTTAGTAGCCAAGGAGAGAGCTCAGAGCTGTTAAGATGATCAGTTGTCCAAAAGATTCATCTTCCTGGCCAAAACAAAAACACCCCGTTTACATGGGTCTCTTCCTTCTAGAACCAAGATATTACCAGTGCAAGATACTGCTAAGACTGTGCCTCTGATAATAGCTGGGTATTTTATTCAATTTTGAAAACACCCACTTCAGTCTAAGTTTAATCAAAGATTTGAGGCTGATAGGAGATAAAATCAACCCTAAGTAGTCACAGAAATTATGCAAAACAGGCTGTGAAAAGATTACTGGGAAGAACTCCTTTCTTAGAGTAGGTGACAAAAAAGGTCCAAAACACAGGCAAACTCCTGAATGCACAGTACTTCTTTAAATGAATATAACTTCTAAAATTAGCACAAAAACTATCAGTATCAGTATATGCCTCGTATTGAACTCAGAAGTGGTGAGAATTGTTCACCTGATAGTGAAATCAAGAGTGGGGTTCAGCTGAAGCTAGCAGAAGTTGCAGGTAGCTACATATATTCCACTTAAAATATATGAAACCCTGGTAAACTACAAAAGCCCCCCAAAATGGCAAGGATACACATGCCAAATGCAAAAATAGAATGCATTTGTGTGTTGAACGCATAACTATGCTATGCAGCCAATTAGTAACACCAGCAATAGTACATAAACATACATAATACACAGAACAAATGTCAGGGCTTGTAAATTGTAGGTTGTAGCTGCTCAGCCCTAAAGCTTAATATCTGCAGCAAGAAAGATACGCTACTGTTATACTGCTTGACCTATTGTTTGAGTAAAAGTTGACCTTGTGGCTTGAGAGATCAAAGGGCCCTGGTTTCTGGGAAAGACAACTCTGGCAGGAAAAATGGCAACAGGGGAATGCTCAAATGCAGTTTGAAATCAGTAGTTTCCTTCTGACTCTGTCAGTTGCACAGTCCCTTGAGCTCTCTCATGGCCCCTGCAGTCTTTCTATCAGATTAAAAGGGTAGTAGATGTTGATGCTTTGAGTTGGAGTCTTTGTTATCATGAATTCATGAGTCCTTTATCAGATTCCAGCTAAAATTAAGTTTATGTTGGTGATGGCTGACAAGTCTAGCTTACAAACTTCAACCCTTTCTTCTACGAGAGAAATGTGCCCAGTGAGGCAGAGAGAGTAAAGGACTGTGCACTGAATACAAACTAAATGATGTCTTCCAGCATGTACAAGAGGTTTCTCAAGGATACAGAGTCAACCTCTTCAGTGGTGCATGACAAGGAGGAGAAACAACAGTCAAAAGCTGAAACAACAGGAGGTTCTGTCTGGGTATGTAAGGGAAAGCTTTTCCATCAAGAGAGCAATGAGGCACTAGTATATATTGCACAAAGAGGTTATGCAGTCTCCATCCTAGGAGACTTTTGGGACTGGAGTCAATAAAACTCTGTGCAACCTGTTCTGACCTTGGAGCTCACCCTGCTTTGAGCAGCAGTTTGGCGAGACCTCCCAAGTTCTCTTCCAGCCATATGACCCTATGACTGATATTTTCCCATCCCTTACAATCCCATGCACTGGGGAGCTGCTGTCCATCAAATGAAAACATGCAATTTATTCTGACTTCAGCTGTGAGAGTTGGCTGCTCTGTTCCACCATGGTATTGTCTGTAGTCCAGCAGCACATTTCAAACTGCTCATACAAGCAGAGAGGAGCACAGATCCCATCTCGAAGATCTTGACTACCAATGATTGCTCTGTCTCAGTTAAACCAACACTTGGAGTAAGATCTATATTGACAGCATCTTAATTTAGAAATTATTCTGCCAGGTCAACAGACTTTCCAGACAAAGTAATATTGACATTGCTGGCTTCATGAAAGCATGGATTAATTTTAATGCAAGTATAGTTTCCACCTATTCCACACATGGGTATGTTTTAATTTCATTTGATTTGACTCTTAGTGCATAGGATGGTCATTGTATGGAGTCATTTGGAAAACCCAGAAACATCCAATTTGCGATCACATGATAGCAATACTTCCTTCAAAAAATACTGTTCTTTTTTCACTTCACCTCCAGATTCTTTAATTGACTTCACACTCAGGACATAGCCCTGACATATCTTGACAGATCTGATAGAAAATACATTAGCTTAAAAAGTAGTGATTCCTGTACCTGGCTTTTCATTGCTTGCCTTTCCTTAGTAGACTGCTGAATAGCATACACCTCCATGCACATGTGGGTGGTTCAGACAATTTTTTAACTCTAAGAATCAATGGACTGGACTATTTTCAGTGCAGCTAGAATAGTGCTTTTAACACATACTACTTATTTATTTAGCCATTGTCTCCATTTGCTGACACGTCAGTTGGCTTGATATTGTTCATACATGTGAAATATGACCCTTGCTTCTTTGTATCATCCTGGTTACTGAGTCCTGTAAACAGACATTTCTCAGTGCATTTGCAACTACTTTTTCATTTTTTGCTTTTTGTTTAGAACTCATAATCCTACTGACACATATAGGAAATGGAGAGTTGCAAATGCATCCACACATATATTTTGACATATGGCTTGGATAGCTGACTAAATATCACGTAGCTTCAGTAATTAGTTACACAGGCTTTGCCCTTTGCTGTCCAGTTATGACACATGCCATTTTTGCCTCAAATACTCTTTGCTGAATGGAAGGCTGCAGTGGCTGTATCTAGACTCCATAGAAGACTGACAATAAGAAATTACTCCGGAAGAATGTTCTTATCAGAATTTCCATAGATGTTCTTGAAGACTAAAGAGAATCTTTATTTTAAATCTTTATTTAAATAAAAATCTTATGTAGATAAAAATCCAGAGGTATTTAGAAACACTGGTCAGCACTTTTTACCTAAAAGGTTTTAATGTGAAGTGTAGAAATATTTATGAATAAATGAAGTTTAATGGAAAGGAAAATAATCTATCATGATACTGGAAGCCATTAGATCATGGGACAGTCTTTTAAGACATGGTAGAGGCCTCAGCTAAAATGGAAGATCAAATCACACAAAATATTTGCTGTGCAAAAGCTCAGTAATTCTCCAGTGGCAGACTGTCAGATGAGAGGTCTGGTTTTCTGGGTCTTCTCTGTCTGATCCCTGTTGTCCCACTGTGATCTTTTGAGCAGTTTGTCATAAGAGTAAGCAGCACACCAAAATCAGAAACACAGACTCTATAAAAATGGTAGCAATTTGGTATCCTTTCAAACTAAGGACATCGTGAATTTTCTTTGCTTTCAATTGTCTTCATATTAAAAATACTTTGATATGGACAAGGTAGAGCAGGGGTAGATTTTGGATAAAAGATTAACAGGAGGTTTTCATCTCGAAAGACATGTTTTGCAGGATGACTATACATCTGATGAGATGTATTGCCTTGTTTTTACTCCAGTAACTAAAAAGCTTATTGCTTAAATTTATTTGCAAACAGCTGCAAGGTTTAGCATGTGAGGAGAAGAATGCCATGGATGAGTATTCTGGGCTTGCTGCCCAAACTTGTTATGATCATCATACATACTGCACATGGTATATGACAGTTTTCTCATCTTCATACGTGAATCTTTGTGTAAAAGGAGAGCTGAAAGGTTTGTCTTGGAGTATCATTATGCAACCCCAAGGTAAATAATAAAAAGTCAACAACAAAATTAGCAACTGATAGAAACATGAAATAAATTTTGTTTTCCTGATGCACTATGAAGACTCCTAGGATAATCAAGCTAGCAAAATTCAAAGCTCTGAAAATAAATCCACTGGTTAGCAATTCTTAGAATACAAAGCTGAGAGAAAACCTGAAAACTTTTCATTCTCACTTCAGAAGACCTTTAAATCCCAAGCTCTCCACATGGAGTACATCACCTTCTTAACATTGCTACATGCATTCCACTTGGGTATATAACTTGCAAAGAACAAGAATTTTTTGATTTTGTGTTCTTTGTAATAATCCTCCTTGTGTTTTTAAATGCTCCATTTTTAAGCCTTCTGCAAACTGTCATTTAGTCTTCACTGATGATTATGCTGTTGATATTTATGCTACTTCCTTCAGTGTTTCTGCTGCTGCCTGCACAGTGAAAGCTGCAATGGAAATCTGCCTTTTCACTTCTTCCCAGGCTTCATGTTGATCAGCTTTGCTTTCAATATCAAACATGGCATCATAGATCCCTGGAAATGATTCTCCTGCATACTTGTTATGGCTGCTTGGAGCAAAGATAATATGTCTGTAGGGAAGTTAAGGGGAAAAATAACAGTATTTTGCATTAGGAAAATAAACCATACTATTTTCTGGATCAAACTAATCTGTTTTTATACCATCTGTTAAACTCTTGACATTGAAGATGTACATAATTAAGATTATTGCAGCAATAGTAGCTACAATCTATGAAACAAGAAAATAACATAAGCTACATTATGCCATGTGAATTCCAGAACTTTATAGCTAAGAAGACTTGAGATAAAAGTTAACTAAAGTATTTTCCTTTCCCTCATTCTAGATGAAATGAAAAGATTAAAGAAAAGCCAGCTTCTTTCTCACATGTACACAGTCTCCCAACAGATACAGGTGTGCCTTGAGGTAGGAAAGCCAATGCTTTAAGAGACTGTTCTCAATAGATTTTTAATCATAAGCTATGAGAGATACAAGGATTGTAGATCTTAATGTCTCCTTCTGCAATTAGTTTATAGTGGAACTTTTTAGTGAAAAGATTACTGTTTTGAAATATGCAGACTCGTAGAAGGACCAAAAAGCTATACTAGACTTGACTGCCTCTCAAATAAGATTTACTTCTTGAACTGGATGAGAGGACCAGTGAATTCCTTTCAGTGCTGCTGCAGTACTGCCCTGCACACTGCATTTGCTAGCATGACTGTTCTCTCGTAATTGATCAAACTGTAAGTACTAATTATACCCTGTTTCACTTTCAAGTAACAACAACTTCCTAAAGATCCTTTATCACTAACATTACTTTGAAGAGAGCCCAGGGCCAAACTTTTAGATCTGTTTAGAAGCCCTATAAAATCAACAGAAATTATCTGAATAGGCTTCCTCATGATGTTTCCTCATTCTGTATAATGTATCTCATTAAAGTTTCCCTCAATGTTCTTTTCCCTTTTTGATCTTACTTGTTCTGGTTAATATACTTTTACTGTGTTGAATAAAATCATTGTAACTCCATTTAGAGACCTGTAAATCTTAACTGAATTCTCATAGGATACTCCAACGGGAAAGGAAAATAAGCCTTTCTCACCTATAGAATGGCCTGCCAGGTAATCCAAGAGGATCGATGAAAGCCCTTTCTAGAAACATGAGCTGATCATTTAGTGATCTTACAGCAAGCAGGCTAAAAAGGAAGAAAAAAGGAATATGTTAGCTACAGAGTGTTTGACCTACTCTTATCCTGTGCCCCAGCATACACATATCCGGACTTATGAAGGGAAATAGATCCATGATGTTGAATTTAAAAGTGTAGCTGACAAAAGAGAGCCCATGTCAGCTAACCTGCATAAAAATGATGCTGCTCTGTGCTCTGAGACAGTCTGGTTCATAACCTGAAACCTCTTAATGCTGTTTTTAAAGGTCAAGTAAGAGTGTCGAAGAACCAGAGTTTCAGATATTTTCTCTCATGTTGCATCTTATTCCTTTATCTCCTTTTCGTAAGGATGCTTAGGCAGATCATTCTTTTATCTTGCACAAGTTTTCCAAATACCCTATTTTCCACTAAGCCAGCCAGCCACAAATTACTTCAATAAAATCACATTTGTTTCTATGTAAAACCACAACATCTGAGAAAAAGGAACCTTATGATGTTAGAAACATCTTTTGAGTCATCCAAGAATTGTGTTTTTCTGATGGTAGTTTTTAAATTCCCTAGAGCAGAGACCATCTGTGTCTGTGTGCTTTGAATAGCTCTGAGCATACTGCTGATGCTTAACAAATACAAGAACTGTGAAGAAGATTATACTGAATATATGTGAGATTGGTAGTTCACATCCAAAGTAACTTATTGTAGAGCTTCAAAGACATTCACCAATAAAAATGGTAAAATTTATCTCACAGTAAGCCTGGAGTAACTCTACTACCATCAATGAAATTGTTTCAGTTTTACAGTGGTGTAAAGAGAAACTGAAACTGGTTGGTTGAATTGGAGCTTAGATTTAGACAATCCATCAAAAAAAACATTTTGAAAATGTCACATACATGTCATGTCATAAATGTCATCTTTTACATCAGAAATTATTGTTAACTCATTTATCTTGAAACTGCTGCCATTAAAAGATGGCTTTTATTCTGTTAGCGTTCCATAAGGGTAAGCATATGGCTAAATTAGACTCTTCCCAAGAAATGTAACATACACATATGTATATACAAAAGGAAGTTTGGTTTGTCCTTCTGGACATGGCCCACAAAGAATAAATGAAGAATTAAGTCAAGTGCAAATTAGGCCTCTTGGAATAGGTGGTGCATAGACTTTCTTGAAAGCTCATCAAAAAGTTTGCCACAACTACAGCTTCTTTTTAAATTTTTTTCTGTTAAGTGGTACCAAGTGAAAACTATGCCCTCAGAGGACAACATGGAGTATTTGACTGGAAGAAAAGAGTTCAACTTACTTATTGACATCTGTTTGTTGCAGTCTCTCATGAAAGCTAGCAGCAACTTCTGTAAAATTCTTCACAGCTGAAAAGAGAGCATCTGGAAGGAGTAGAATGGAAGTATTTAACTTCAAATTCTGAAGAAATCATTTAACAAATCAAATTCTTCAAATTAAAGCTTTATCTTTCACTGTGATCATGATCTGTAAAGGCTCACTGAAGTAAAATCAAATGACGCCCATATTCCTACATTTAAAAAATACGTAATTCTGTATGAAAACCTGTCTTAGAGACAACAGAAAATAGTCTTTTTGTGAATATTGCTTATTATTTCCTACTTGAAGAATGTACAGAATCACAGAATCATAGAATCAATCAGGTTGGAAAAGACCTCTGAGGTCATCAAGTCCAACCTATGATCTAACACCACCATGTCAACTAGACCATGGCACTAAGTGCCACATCCAGTCTCTCCTTAAACACCTCCAGGGGTGGTAACTCCACTACCTTTTTGCCAGAAACATCAAAAACTGGATCAGAAACTGCCAGAACCAGACTGTTCAGGTAGGTCTGAGATTTTAAAAATTCCAACAATCTGTCTTTTACTGTTATGTCCCTCCACACACACAGAATTCTGAGAAAGACTGAGAGTATATGTCTGCTTGTGTGTGTGTGTGTTCCTTATACTGGTCATTCGCAGTCGAATCCTAAGCTGAATACTATATAATGTTGCCAGTAAAAAAGGCTTCTCCGGCAGAGAACTATCCAACACTATAAGCTGCAAAGCAGTCTGACTTTTTTTCAGGAACCAAGACAACCATATATTGATGTCCACACTGGTGAATCATACACACATCGAAGCACATGTGACTGTGTTAGCTCTACTTGGCAGTGGCATAGACTCTACACAGGCATACTAGTGACAAAATAGTCACATTTCAAATTATTGGAAGGTGTGGCTATTGTTTTATTTACTGTTCATACAGCACAAAGTAAATACCAGGTCATGACGAAGACATACATTAATATAAGGCACTGCTAGCATTAACAGAGGAGGAGTATGATGAAAGACTGTACGTACCAAAGGATACATTGTATGTTGCCAGTTCCTCTTCATGATTCCTTGACAAATTATAGATGATGTGAGCGTAGTTGCTCACAGCTGATGCATAATCTCTACAGTCAAAAGGAAGCACAACAGAGTTGGCCAATTCGAACACTAGCCCTCCCCGTACCTGAGCTACTGTCAGATGATTCTTGAAAGTGGGATCATAAAACTGCTCCACAATTTCATAGGTTTCATAGACACTGTGGTAAACTGGATAGCTGCTATATTTTTCTGTGTTCTGAAACAAACAAAAAACCCAAAACAAAACCATTACTCAGCTATGGATACTTCAGTGTTGCTTGAAAACCTTTGCTGTAGGATACAAGGCACGGTAAATATAAATGTTCAGGTCACACTAATCCTACATAACCACTACAATCACTGAAATAAGAAAAACTGATTCTCTTAAGACATCAACCTATGATGAGATGAACAGGCATTTGGGTATGAGGTCTCTCATGACCACGTACAGAGCCCAAAGAAGGTAGGTAAGTACAGACACGAAACTTTCTGTTGGCTAAATCAAGGTGAAATTTTCCCTCCTCTCTCTTCTTGGATTCAACAATCTTTTCTGTTTGTGTCTTTGGATATTCTTTTCTGATTTTCAGAGGAAAAGACCAGATTGAATGGATTGCTCTTTGAACATTTCTCAGTTAACATCATCTCACAGTACGCTCCAGAGTCCAACCCGTCCTTTCTACAAAACACAAATCATTTTGAAGTCAAAGCTTCCTAAGTTATTACAAATCATTCAGAAGTCATTATAAGCCACTCAGAAACCTTCACCAATCACATGTAATTTTGAGCACATCCATTTGTCATGTCCGAAGGTACTTTTGTCTGACACCAAGTTGATCAGTCCTATTTGTTGAAGATTTGTGTTGAGGTAGCACATACAGTTCTAGTAATAAGACACCACTCTGACACACTAAACTGAACTACCCCAAAAAGCTGGAACTCTAAATGGCTCCGTTACAGGTAGCATTATTCAGGCAGTTACAGAGAGGACTGAAATTACAAAGACGGAGACTTACCCAATTTTTACTGTAACGTGCTCTGCCTGAAGCGATGCCAAGACGTTGAAAAAAGACTTCAAAGTCATTGCCAGAACCCAGTTTATTTATTCTTTTAACAAGAAAAAGGAAAATGCCTTGAGTGACAATACTTAAAGCATAATTTTAGTTTGCTTCCAAGTACTGTGGCAATTATTTATTCAGCCGTCAGTCACTGTGCACTACAGAGTCTTTTCCCAGTACTCTCTTTCTGTCAATATAACATGAATTGCCTCTGACCCCTACATTACATGCACCCCATTGATTGCACTCTTGGAGGAACAAAGTTATCATTCTCAGGGTCAGAGAAACCCAGCTGTCAAAAGGAGAATTTAACCCAAGTACTGTGGCAATTATTTATTCAGCCGTCAGTCACTGTGCACTACAGAGTCTTTTCCCAGTACTCTCTTTCTGTCAATATAACATGAATTGCCTCTGACCCCTACATTACATGCACCCCATTGATTGCACTCTTGGAGGAACAAAGTTATCATTCTCAGGGTCAGAGAAACCCAGCTGTCAAAAGGAGAATTTAACTCGCTGTCTCACTTACATGA